AGTTCTATCAATAAGTTTATTTATACTTCAAGGTTAAAGAAATTACCCATCTTAATTACTACTCACAACTTACCATATAAGAATATAATTCTACAAATCTCTTACTACTGATTTAAAAAATATTAAATGAAAAAGTAAAAAAAATGTTGTCTTGAAAATATTAAATAGTAAAATGATTTATTATATAAATCATAATTGATTGACACTCGTAGACTTAGTCATAGACTTACTCTATCCTATGGTAGTCATAATTGAAGCCTTTATTTATATATTTTCTAGTTGTTACAACATTAGATAGATCTTCACTTTTTTTAAGGATCTTCCTTGTTATATTAAATACTGAAGCTGATAATCCAACCTATTTGGAGGTGCTTTACTTTTTTCAATTGCAAACACAAGATGGCATCACTAAAGTCTTATAAGTAAATAAATGTTATTCACCCTTGATAGTTTCTGTAACAACTTCAAGTATTAAATTATCTTCAGAATTTGACTAACAAGTATGACATTTATGTACATATAGTGATGATATAGGTATTGTACCATTTTTGTGATGAGAACTTTGAATGTGTTAAATTAAAGGATGTGGACTATTCCTGAGCCTAAAGGATTTGCACGGACAACAACTATGGAAGCTGAAAAATTGAATTTAGTTTCAGAGGATTGTCATTCAAGAATTGTAAGCACTGTTACATTTTTTCAGTTAGTTGATTAGTCTTGATAATCAATTGCTAGTTATCATCATGTTTTGAATTCAATGATTTATGTATGTAAGATGAGATTCTTATATATTTTTTATGTTGGCATCTCTTAGTTGCAAGAGAAGGAAGTGAAGCGTGAAACCAAAAACATCTATAGGGAAGTTTCCAAGACACATAATGCTATACAGTAAGTTAAAAAACATGACCCTATTCTAATTTTAAGGTAGTGTTTGGTGCCTGGACAGAACAAGATTTTGTTCTCTTTGCTATATTTTTTCGCTAAACATGTTTGATCGTATTGGAATTCAGAACGTTGGACAAGACTATTTCAAACTTAGAGATGGAATTAGCTGCTGCAAAATCAGCACAGGAGTCTATAAGAAGTGGTGCTCCTGTGTCACAAGATATAAAGATGAATGAATCATCATATAGTAAGAGAAGGTATCTAATGGTCATAGGAATTAATACTGCTTTTAGTAGCAGGAAAAGAAGGGACTCAATTCGTGCAACATGGATGCCACAAGGTTCATAATTTTGATCCATGCTTCAGAATAATTTTCTGTTATTCTGTCTAATTTGTGAGACACTTAGGTGTGAAATTCTGATGATTAGTTCTTGTGATAACATGGAAAATAGGTGAAAAGAGAAAGAAGCTAGAGGAAGAGAAAGGCATTATCATCCGCTTTGTAATTGGTCACGGGTAAGTTATATAATCCCTCTTTATACTCTTTCTTACTTCTTATTCTAACTATCTTTAACTAACTTATACAAATTAAGTAAGGTTATTACTTTTCTTAAATTTTTAAAAAGATACTAATTTTAGTCCCTAATCCTCAAAACATTTGTAAGAAAAGACCTTAACACACGGTTAAATGGTGGAGGACTATTTTGCTCCTTAAGCAAAGTTCATGGTCCTTTTTTGTGCATATTATTGAAATTTAGGAAGTAAATTACATGCTACAATCAAAGGGTGTTTTCAAAATTTCTCCTAAGTATATTGAATGCATTGTAAAATGAAGTATTTTTTCCTCTTATTTCTCTAGGGCTACATCAGGGGGTATCCTAGACAGATCAATTGAAGCAGAAAATGCAAAACATGGAGATATCCTGAGGCTGGTAATGATTCTCTTTCTTTCATTTTGTCACTACCTGCACATATAATCACTAGCCAAGATAGAATGACCATATTTATAAGAAGAAACAGAACAAGTTTTTAAACCTTTGTGCTTTGATTCTGCAGGATCATGTTGAAGGATACCTTGAATTATCAGCAAAGACAAAGACCTACTTTGCCACTGCTGTTAATTTATGGGATGCTGACTTCTATATCAAAGTTGATGATGATGTCCATGTAAATATAGGTATCTAAAGTCTTTCAATCTCTAATGATCTTAGACTTTACTTTGAACTCTTGAGAGTTTGGACAAGTGTTTATGTTTCCATACTAAGTATGCAACATGTAATTATGAATACTATATTTTTTTACTATCCTATTCTGTCTTTTTTCAGCAACATTGGGAGCAACTCTAGTTAGACATCGATCGAAACCTCGGGTATACATTGGATGCATGAAATCTGGTCCAGTTCTTAATCAAAAGTGAGAATTATTTTCTTTTATCCTTGTTTATTTTAATTTAAGAGTTGTAAAATTGTTAATTGTTTCACTTCTAGCTTCTTATCTGTCTAGTTTCCTGCAGAGGAGTAAGGTACCATGAACCAGAATATTGGAAATTTGGTGAGACTGGAAACAAGTATTTTCGTCACGCCACAGGACAGTTGTATGCTATTTCAAAAGATTTGGCTACATACATTTCAACTAACCAGTAAGTCCTTTCTTAATCTCACTTATGAGGGAAAAAAGAATAATTGATATGAAATTTATAGACTTAATGGTACAAGTATTGTGTTTATATGCATGATGACCCATGTGTATATGTTTGTGACAGGCATGTTCTTCATAAGTATGCCAATGAAGATGTTTCATTAGGTGCTTGGTTTATTGGACTTGATGTGAATCATATAGATGATAGGAGACTCTGCTGTGGTACACCACCAGGTGATTGTTTTTCTTCTGTAAATTATTAATGTTATCAAATCACTTCTGAAGAACATCCTAATATAAAAGAATTGGATACTTTTTGTTACTAAGATCACTCTCTTTAAGAACTCCTAATGAGTTGCATGATTGAATAGATATGATAAGAGCCCATATAATAAAATTCTAGAGAGTTAGATAATTTAAGAAGGTCTAAAAAAATCAAATGTATTTACATATTTTATTCAGTAATGTTTTTATTAATAAGTATTGAGATTATTAGAAGGGACATTTTTGCAGATTGTGAATGGAAGGCCCAAGCAGGGAATGTTTGTGTAGCTTCATTTGATTGGACTTGCAGTGGAATTTGTAGGTCAGCTGAGAGGATCAAAGAGGTCCATAAGAGATGTGGTGAAGGTGAGAAAGCTTTGTGGAGTGCCACTTTCTAACTCTGGAAGTGTAATAGGATGAGTCGCATAACCGATATTCTAACCGAAAATTGGATTATGACAGAATGATATAAACTAAGGCAATGAAGCAAGGCTGCAATGATTTCCTTTCCTTTTTCTATATATTTTTGACAAGTAAAGATAAATTTTCATTTTACAAGAGAAAGAGAGAGAAGAGAAACCATGGACTTTCAACATTTTAGTAGAGGAGATTGACCATGGTAGCAGCCAAAAATAAATAGGATATAATAATATTCTTTGATGCTTGTAAGGCCACTCTATATGTTAATAGTTAGTTCCTATGGCTATCAAGCTCCTAATAAATATAGCTAATATGTATTTGGAGTATATTTGAATTTTCTGTTTGGCAATGGTTGGAATTACTCTCTATCTCTTACTCTACATTTGGCATGGTCTAATAGTATAGAATTCCATAAGAGAGAACAATTCATATGAGCTTCAGCTCTTAAAGCTAGTATTAAATGGATTTAATCCCATACCATTATCAATATAAAAGTTTACAGCAAAATCTTTAAAATTGTTTGAGTAACAACTTTAATAGTTAGTAACATCTTTAATTTGTCTTCATTGATTGTTATACAACTATATTGGAGCGATAAGAAGAATCTTGTTCAGAAATTGTACTCAAAAGCAATGTTTTAGGAATAAAAATAAAACTATAATCATAAAATGCAATTTGTCCTTTTAGTAACATCAGTTTTTCAGTGTTCACCTCTAAGGATTCTCAGAAAAGTCAAATGCCATATCAGGAAAGGAGAGACAGTTTATTTGAGAAAATTTAAACTTTCATTTGACAAAGATTCAATAAAAAAAGCAAAAACAATATATATTTTAGGAAATTATACTTTTTAATGAACATGAATTCATATTTTATATGTAATTGTATGTAGTTCCTCATGACTAACAGGAAATGAAACACTTGAAGCATATACATATTATTCTCACTACTAATGAAAAAACTATAATGTAAATATTACATTCACATCAATGATAAAATAAAAAAAACATGCTGTATATGAAATTGTATGTGGTTCCCTCCAGAGAAAAACAGTTTCCAAAACTTAAACTCCAATGTTAAAACCAGATATACCAAAGATGTGGGCTTGAAAATAAATAACAAGAAACTTTATAAAATATTTAATCATGCAAGCCCCCACCTTACACATGCAATTGGCTGATTCACTTCTTCACCTACCATATCACATTCAAAATAAGCAAGAAGACACTTTAAAAAATATTAATAATAAGAAGACATGGGAAGATTCTTGATGGGTCTATCTCATAAAAACATGTGTACAAAATGATAGCATGGTCAATTGGCAATATACTATAGAGTATGTATGAATATATTTTATGTATTTTAGTTAAGAAGATAACATGATAACTTTGAAAATGGATGTTTTTTGAGATCTTGCTCCTTCATCAGAGAGAGAGAACAATGCTTAATGAAATGCACAAGGCATGTTCTACTTTCCAAATTACATCAAACAGCAATAAGCATTATGTGAGCTAGCTACTGAGCTATATGAGAAGTTAATGGTGAATGCATCATACAAAACTTGTCTGCTTTAGTACACTAACGCACATATTCTCATAACTAATCTTCAATATTTGCTTCAATGTCATCAAAAAAGGTAGTTTATAGTTATCATAAATAGTTATTGGCTCATATTAATTTTCACTGCTGATCACAAATAGAAAATGGTAACTAGGAGAACCTGCATGCACATCTTCTTTTGGCATCCAAAATGCTAACACAACAACCTTGATCAGAAGGTTTCAAGGGTTTTAGGATCAAAATCACGTGATATTGGCGCGGCTCAATAGAAAAGGAAAGCCCTGAGACATTTTGAGCATTGCTTTCTCATTGAACCTGACCAATATCCCGTTAAAACGGTCCCCATGTCCCTTTCTTTTGCATCCATATGCTGTATGATACTCACATACACATAACAGTAAAGCATGAAAACAAAACTTGAAAGTTAAAACTGTGATACTTACAAAAAATAAATCTAGAAGGGGCAATGGTGTTGTTATGGTGGGAGTGTTAAGAATGTGGTAGCACTCATATGATCCTTGATTTAAATCACTAGAAGATCGTGTGGAAGGGACTGAAAGTGATCTATGAATGGAGAACAAAAACATTCCATGAGGGTGGGTATATATTGAGTGAAATTCTTGTGTTAAATATAGTGAGCTAGATAGAGAGATGTGAAGTTTTAAAGAAAGTACAACCAAAATGAGGAGAAATTATTCTGAATATTATTTTTGGTACACATTGACATCAAATTATGTTCCTTACCTTTGTCTTTAAGAGTATGTTATATTCACACTTAAATTTGTCATTTGATTATAAGATTGGACATTTGATTATCCACTATTTTCTCTTCCTTAAAGGCATGTGTTGATGTATATTAATGGTTAAGTTTGAATATTATTGTTTTTAATGTATGTTAATGGTTAAATAACAAAAAATGCAAATTCTTTCTTTTTTATGTGTTTGATAGATGAAAAGTCAAGTTTTCAGCATTTTAAGGTTTTTTTTTGCATTTATTGATTTCTTATTGAAACTCAAGAGGATCCTTTTTATAAGACATTTGACAGATTGATTTTGCTTCTTTTTATAAGACAACTTTCAGATTTCTAAGCACATAAATCAAAATTTATTATCAAATACCCATATTAATTATAATGTATGAAGGATAATTTTATAAAAATACACCTAATTAAAATAATCATATTAATGTAACTTTCCTCCTTAGTTCTCCTGAAATAAGCCAAAGGAGCCCTAAGTCAATATTTAAAAAACCATTAAAATACTAAAATCTACATTAACTTCACAATTATTCCATAAAGACATTCACCTTTTAATATGTTTACTAGCTAGTGTCCAAGATGAAATACAATATGCAAATCTCGAAGTACAAATACAAATAACGTGCATGTACTCAAATTATTCCATGCTTTGTAGCATTGATGAATGCATGTTTCAGAAGAAGATCTTCACCTTTAATTTGAAGTACATTTTCATAAATTTTAATCAAGTCAATTTAAATTTATGGTAGAAATCTCTGTGGAGCATAAATTGTGTTGTTACTCGAGAAACATGGTAGAATTTCTCAATCACAAGAGAGCAATAAGAAATGAGGCTGGTTGTGGTAGCATTGAAGATGTTGCATTAAGTTTCCAACAACTCAGCAACTGAGGAAGTTGGAATATTAATTAAAAGGAAGTAAAGGAATCATGATAAAGCTAAAAGGAGACAAATTTGTAGCTTTTTAATGTGAGCATTTATGGAGGGAGAGGGATGTTGGTTCTGTTCAATCAACATTTATGTATTCACCAGTATAACAGAATCTTTGCCTTAAGAGAAAAGGATATGTATCACTTTTACAATTATTATATTTATTGTGGGGATCTACTTACTCCAATAGTAAGTTTTTTAAACTTACTTCACATCTTAGCTATTAATTTTAGGGAAATCCAATGATTTAGATTTATTCACTAATTCAAACTACTAGATTTCCCTGGAAGTAGAGTAAGTATTTTCAATGAATCCCTCCTCTTATTTTATTTTTACAAATTCTCTTATTTCCATTTAACACAACTGGCTTATAAGTTAGAAACTAAAAGAGATGAAAGTTGATAAGCTACCTCATAGGCCGAAATTATTTGATACAGTTAATTGATAAAGTGATTGACTGATGTAAAATGACATAATTGTCCCATAATCAATTTTAAGTATATTATCAAATATGAGTTTATAATCTTGTAAGTTATTAAAAAAAAGCATTTATCATGTGATAATCTTCACAGGGTATGACTAAGGCATCAAAAAACTTTTTTATTATTTGAAATTGAGTATACAATCTTTACATGTTATAATTTCTTACAAAATCCGAAAAAGAATAAGTTTGATCTTTGAATTAATTGTATTTTGACACCTCTTCAAAAGTGTGATATTCCTTATGTGAAAAAAATGAATCTATGATAATCTTTAGGGGATAACTAAGATATAAGAGGTGAAGTTTTTTAATTTTTTTGAGGGTCGGAGAGAGCACAATGACCTGAAGTAATCATATCTTGAGCCCATTAAAACATTGGATATAACAAGCAACAAAATTAGAATATAGAAATTAAGTTGGTTGAATTATATATTTTCCTAATAATTATATTTTGACTTTATGTATTTGACTTTATATTTAATATATATATATATATATATATATATATATATATATATATTTATTTATTTATTTGGTTATGCCTCATTTTTCATACTGTAATTCTGAGGTGTTAACATATGTGAGATATAAATTTTAATAAGGGTAAGACCATTATTATTTAAATCTTTGTATATCCCATTTTACTTCTTATTATGTTTTTCAAATTTATCTTTATTGAAATTTTAAATTTACATAAAGTCAACATTTCAGGTTAATTCGTATAATTTGCCGAGTTATATGCACATTGAAAATTGTTATTGTGCTTACAAAATTGACCATAATGAAAATAATAAATAGAGTTGTTCTTCCAAGCTGACATTAGTAATGGTAACTCAACAATACACAGTAAGCCCATATCCTTGATATTTTGGTACCATATGACATGACATATCTATACATGTATATACATAACATATATGGTTGTAGGTTTTCACTAAAAGATTACACTATGTAATAAACTTGTTGATGACCATGCATATACATCATATACACTTGAATGGAATAAGATTTGAGTTTAATATCTATGTATCATGAACGAATTAAGCGATATTGATAAAGTTGGAACTCATCCAAACTTGTGCCAGCAAAGCAAGATGACTAGGCACTTTCTCAATATGTAAAACCTGCCCCTATACTCTTTAAACATAGTAGAACACCTTCTCCTAGAGCAAGAACATTGTTTATCTTTCTGAGTTGCAGTTGAGTAGCATGAAACCATATTTCTCAAATCTCACTTCCTTAACTTGTGTGCTATGGTTCCTATGCCCTGTAGGTTTTATATAGAACTCAAAGGAGACATGTCTAGAATTTTAAAATAATGTGAAGCATGTAAGCCATAGAACTATAAGGTGGTGGGACATAGTTAACTTTTTGTGTGTGAAAATGTCTACATTATTTGTAAAGTCATTATTTATTTATTTTCATCTTTGTAATATGTAAGTTTGTTCATTGAGTATTGATGTAGTAAATCCAAAACATAAATACATTATATTATAGATATCTATTGGTTGTTATATATGTAGAGGTATTAAAAGAAATAATTTGGAGAAGTATAAAGGAAGTGGTAAGGTGTAAGGTGAAGGATATTGGAGGGATGACCATTCGAGAAATGAAGTTAATAATAACCCAACACTTGGCATACACTACTAGGACTTGTATTTTAGAAGGAAAACGATCATTGCTGTGTGCACCTTTTATCAAAACACCTTCTTGCCCGTACACGTGTTCCTCTCTTCTTTTACTCCAGAGAAATAATTGGTTATAATAATTGTTTTGCAATATCCAAAGAAACGGTGTCGTATATGATATACTAGAGCTTTCACTTGAATATGTAATCCTTTTATCTCTCTTGGTTCTTTCAAACTCCAACACCCGCTTGGTTCGTTTACTCTTCTTTTTATTTCCCCTTTTCCTCCAATTTCTCTTTTCGATAATTCATACATTATCACATCATAGTTAATAATAATCTAGGCCATTTTAATTTTGTGGAATTCAGAATTGGGGGTTTAGTTGTTGATGTATGATTTATAACATCGTTTTTTCTTCACGGGCTTTAGTTGTTGATTTATAACGTTTTGTTTATCACAAATTATAACTTTGGTTTTCTCCAAACATCATGATTTGTGCAAACTTGATGTGCCAGAGAGGAGACAGGCTGAATCTGCTCGTATAAGGGAAAAGTATCTTGATAGAATTCCAGTAAGATTTCTGTCCTGTTCTCTACACACACACATATATATATATATATATATATATATAACGATGCTATGATATCACTTCTTCATTATTCATTTTCTTTTGATCTTTTGTGTGTAGGTAATTGTTGAAAGGGCTGAGAAGAGTGATGTTCCTGAAATTGATAAGAAAAAGTAAGTTTCTTCTAATTTTTGCAGATAGCAAGTACAAGTATAGGTGTAGTTTATGAACTCTGGTTTTCTTCTCATGTATTGTTACCTATGTTATTTTACATTGAAGCTTGTTAGCATTTACTTTTGCTTGAGAGATTGCAAACTTACTTAATTCGGGGTTGAGGTGTAACCTGTTCTTAAGACTGATACAATTTGGTTGCTTTTCCATGAATTTTTTGGCATGAATTTGAAATGTTCGGGAACTTGCAAACCTTATGACTTCTAATTTTATTTTATTGAATTGGGTATAGAAGTTAGACAGATAAGCTGTTGATTAGTTTTTAATATGATGAACAGAGGAAGAAGCTTTGTCTTCTGTTCTTTGTTTGCTTAACAATTGTAGTGAGTAGAAAAACCCAATTACAAAGTGAATTGGAAAAAGCAAGGTTCAATTCTATGCTTATTTATATCGGTATATGCATGTTGTTTCATACTTTCATTGAGGTGAAATCCTACTAATAGATTTCGACATTGCTTCAGTTATACCAATTGAAGGTAAGAGACTGGCAAAATCTGTTATGTTGTAAATATGGATTCAAATTATGTATATCCTCAGTCTCTTTTCTGACTCGAGTACAATTTTAATTTTTACATATGCTTATTATTTCTTGTTCTCCAACAGTCTTTTGGTTTAGTTTCAAAGCCTTCATTATAAATATAAGAGGTTGGATGAGCAAAAATTAAACTTAAAATGGTTTTAAAAAATGATCTTTGAATGTTGAGAAAGTAAGCAACAAAAAGGACTCCAGAAGACTGTTCTTA